TGCTCTCTCTGTGTGCTGCCTACCTGTCAGCTTCAATGAGCAAAACTACATAGCCCCTGCCCTCATGGAGCTTATGTTCTAGTGAGTTAGCAGAGAGGGACAACAAAACAAATAAACCCACAATGATGAGATGAGGCAGATGGCGATAAGTGACACAGAGAAATGGAGTTGGGTCGGGAGAGGGAGAGGGATGAGCCATGGGCTATCTGATGGCAGTGGGCAGGGAAGGCCTCTCTGACCAGCTGAAACCTAAGCAAAGCCCTGAACACAGGAAAGGAAGGAAGTCTTGTGGCTGTCTGGGAGGAAGAGCGTTCCCAGGAGCAGGAAGAGCAAGCGCACATCCCCTTGTGGGAGCAGATCACTGGGCAGGAAGGAAGGGCCCTGAAAGGCAGGTGGCAGGGCCCCACGAGGGAGGGAGGTAGTGGGAGGAGAGGTGGGTTCCTCAACAGGAGAGAGGCAACTCAGCAAGAAGCCCATGCAGAGCTGGAGGGTCAAAGTTTCTGGGGGGCCCAGTCACCTGCAGGATAAGTGACAGGTGAGGTCTCTGAGGAGCTGGGATAAACAGCAGGGAAGCAGTCCAGGAGTACATGGGGCTGGGCCCTGAGTGTGACAGGGACAGCAGTGAGATGGGCCCTCACCACAGTCACCTTCTAGCCCCTGATCAGGCACAGGGCCCTCAGAGCTGCTAAGTGGGCCCGGCTGGAAGGGAAGGATGTGTAGGGACAGGGAGCACGGCCATCCTATACAATGTAAAACGCTGAAGAGCAAACACCCTTAGACACCCTGAAAATCAAAGGAATTTTTCCCAAATAGCCCATCCCTGGAATGTTGGAGCAAAGGAGGCCTGGACTTAGATTCTCGTCTCAGCACTACGTGGCCTTAGAAAAGTCCTGGTTGCGCGCAGTGGCTCACACTTATAATCCCAGCACTTTGAGAGGCCAAAGTGGGAAGATCACCTGAGGTCAGGAGTTCGAGACCAGCCTGGCCAACACGGTGAAGCCTCATCTCTACTAAAAATACAAAATTAGCTGCACGTGGTGGAGTCCATCTGTAGTCCCTGCTACTCGGGAGGCTGACGCAGAAAAATCACTTGAATCTGGGAGGCGGAGGTTGCAGTGAGCACAGATCATGCCGTTGAACTCCAGCCTGGGCAACAGAGTGAAACTCCATCTCAAAACAAAAACAAACAGAAAAAAGAAAAGTCCTGTAACCCCTCAGAGTCTGCCTTTCCTCGTCATCAATAAGACCCACGCTGCAGGGGCACTGTTGGCGCTAGACAGGGCCAAACACCCAGAACGTGCTGGCACACAATAGGTTCTCTACTATTGGTCGCTGTTCCCGCTACTATTATTGCATATGGATGTGCTAAAGCTTGGGGTAAATCATGACCACGGCTGATGCTGACTGAGCTGCGATACGTCCAGTGCAATGGACTGAATGTGTATGAACCCAAAAGTTCACAGGCTGAAATCCTAACCCCCAAGGTAGTGCTACTAGGAGGTAGGGGAGTGACTAGGTTATGAGGCCACAGCCCTCATCAATGAGATTATTGCCCTTATAAAAGGGATCCCAGAGAGCTCTCTTGTCCTCATGTGAGGGCACAGTGAGAAGATGGCTGACTATGAACCAGGAAGAGGACCCTCACCAGACACTGAACCTGCTAGGGCTTTGATCTTGGACTTCCAGCCTCCAGAACTATAAAAAACAAATTCTTTTGCTTATAAGCCACCCAGTCTACAGTGTCTTATTTATAGAAGCCTGAACAGACTAAGACACCCAGATAAGGTCAGCTGTGTAAAACAGGCCAGGTGGACGTCATTATACTGCAAAGGCAATTAGCTCAAGTGAGATCCGAGATTCAGCCTCCACCCACCCAAACCTACTGGGATTCTGAACCCTGTTAGGACTAAAATATCTTTTCATTGCTATAGGTACAAATACTTTTTTCCTCCTGGGAAAAAATAAAGAGGGGGAAAAAAGAGGATGTACAGGAATATATACATCCACATATGCACATACATGGACTTATTTTAATCAATTGAAATGCATATTTGTGATGTATTAGTTATCCCCAGAAAGCTATAGAGACCCTCATGTTTAGCCCTGGCATCCCTGCTCTGGGGCTGTACAGATCTGGCCTGTCCTAAACAATATTTAAAAACAAGTGGTTACTCCCCTATTTATCCCCTTGTGAGACTAGCTACCTAGATGAGACTGCAGAAACAGGGCCCCTGCCACAGTGCTCAGTCCCAGTGGTCTGTCCTTGCTGAGCCATCTAGGACCATCTCTTCTCACCCCCATGGTCCCTGCCTCAGCCCCCAAGCTTCAAAACCTACTCAGAAGAAGGCTTGACAAACTATTATTCCAAGGTAAGAATACTGATAACCCTCCAAAGAAAAGAAATCTGCAATTTCCCATGATTACCAGCTTCAGCTAAAGGAATGAAGCAATAACGGTGCATTGTAAGGCATCCTGGGAAAAGTAGGCTTTCTCCAAGCCACAGTGCCTATCCTGGCCTGGTTAAAAGGCTCTGCCCCAAAGGCAGGGTTGTCATCCTCCAGCAGTCTCCAAGGTGGCAGAGCCCTAAAGATACCAGCAGAAGAGTGTTATCCTCAAACACAAAACCAGACTGCAGAGAACTTCACAGGACACCAGGCTGACTTTGGGCTTGGCTGCACAAGACCTGCCTGTTCCTAAGCTGAGTTGCCTCTCACCAGCCAGCTGAAAGCCCTTTCTCTGCTGTGAACCCAATACAGATACAAACTGCATTTCATGTCTGAAAAAGCCAGTGACGGGATAAGTAGTGTTTGTTATCTAACTAAATTGTAGAGGAAATGATGTGTGAATGAGAAAATTTTAACACAACCGTGAATCACTTCTGACAAGTTCGATTATGGTTTTGTTTAGTTAAGCACTTGTGCATTCCAATGAATTGTCCTATGGAATTATTAATTGGATCTGGGATTTCTAGGGCCTTCCCACTGCTCTGAATCCTTCCTAGCAGAGATGATGTACCTTTAGGTGTCGTGGTTACAAGGGTTGGTTTTCTACTAAAAAATCTAAGGGTGGAGTGCAGGGCATGCCAGATCCTGTCATCTAAACCAAAACAGTGAGAGTCGCTCTTGGTCTTCCCAAAAGTTAGAAAGACACAGAGATGCAAATTCTTGAAAATACAGGGACATAGAAAAAGACAGGTTTGGGGCCCCTGTGTTCTGTGGCTTTTCATTAGGAAAGGATTCTATTTGAGAAATAAGTCAAAACCAGTAGATCCAGGAGTAAAGTGTTAGTCATAGAAGATGGGGAGGGAGGACTGGACCCACCAGCTTCTCTAAGTACAGAAGGGAAAAAATAGGAAGAGGACCCGGGGCCATGGTCCTCAGAACATCCTGGTGCCTCCTCTCCTGGCTGTGGCTATGCCAGCACTGCCAGGCTTCCTCTGTCCACTTTCCACTCTAAGGATGATGCTATGGCAGCTAAAAGATCGTGCCAGCCTCCGTGATGGAACCAAACCCAGAATCTTCTCCGGCAATGGAGATGCTACACATAAGGAAGAAAGATCACTCAGTCCACCCAGCAGTACTAGCTGCAATCGCATAGACTGTGCCCTGCATCTGGGCACCTGGGCATGAGGGGGGCTGCAATCTAGCCCACACCCTGCTTACCAAGCCATAAGCCCAGGGGCTGCATCAGCCCAGAGGGATGTGGATCTGTCAGGGCCCCAGCATGAAATTTCTAACGGAGTTTAATTTAAAAACTATTTACAAAGGCAGACAGGGTTAAGGAAAGTCAACAGAGGTAGAGGCACCCTGGGCTAGCAAAAGGGGGAAGCCATTGCCACATTAGGCCTGGAGGGGTCAAGGGAGAGAGTCCTTCTAGGAGCCCAGCAAGAATTGTGGCTGGGAGCATTGTTTACGGAAGAGCGAGGATACCGCCAAATGCCTCCACCGCCACACCCACCTATAAGCCAGAGGCATGGAAGCCTGTTTGCTGCAGTCCATAGAGATCAGCCTCCTGGGACCAAAAACAGTGTTGGGAAAGGTGAGGAGTAGATGTGGAGGCCAGAAACCCATTCTCCATATGGGCCAGCCAGGGAAAGCCTGATTTGCATCTTTCTTTCACTCCCCATCAACTGCCTCGGTTCCCCTTGGAAAGTTTCCATGGTCTCACTGCTGCCACCACCTTCCAGGCACTCTCCCATCCCCCTGTCTCAGCCCCATCTCGCCCTGACTGCAGGAGCAATCAGGGGAAGGAGAGATGTAGCTCATCGACGAGACTGCAAGCAGGAAATCCTGGAGGCCTGCTCTGGAAGCCCACCCACTCCTACTCTTGCTCCTAGCAGGCATATAAAGGCTGTGGGTAAGGATGGGCCATGACCACGGTGCAAGCAGACAGTGACTGTTCCCAGTGCCTGGCAGAAGTGGGTTTTTATGACCAAGGAGCGACACTGGATCAGGTCTGCCAGCCAACGACCAGGCAGAAGTCACCAAAGGAGGGGTCCAAGAGCTAGAGGCAGCCAGGGTGCAAGCAGCTGGCATTGGGGAGCAGGAGCACAATCCCCTTCCTGCCATTTGGGTAGGCCCCTGGAGAGAGTCCCTGGCCAGTGCCCTTGGGCGATGTTTTTAACCAACAAGCCTGTAGCGCTTACTGTATGCCCTGCAGGCACTGTTCTGAAGGCTTTACAGAGATTTCCCCCATTTTATCCTCATAAGAACACCGTGAGGGAGGTCCAATTATCTTCTCCATTTTAAAGATGGGAAACCTGAGGCACAGAGGGCTTAAATAACCTGCCTCAGATCACCCAGGGAGCAAATAGTAGAGCAAGATTCAAGCACAAGCAGCCTGGTGCCTGGGTGTGTTCTCTGGCCTGCTGAGCCAGTGTGAGCACGCCTACTGCGCCCCTGCCAGTCACAGACACTCACAGCCCCTGGCAAGCAGCCCGCTTCCCGTTCCCCTGCCCCAGCATGTCAGGCATCTCTGAAAAGATGTTCCATGCCACTCACCGAGCAGACCTGAACAGTCCCAGAGATGACCCAGGGCCTGTGTGGCGTGCAAGGGGATGTTGTGGGCTGGCTTCCTGTGAGGCAGCCTATGAGATAGAGGACAGCAGGAGGTCAGTAGGGAGAGCTCTGGGGCCCACACCTCCAGGAGCAGGGGGAAGCTTAATGGGGCAGAGGGAAAGCCAGGCTGCAGCGCAGTACTGACCATGAGGGGAGTGTTAGAGATGGGGTGGCCCTGCACAGCTGTCGTGGGTTGGAGTGAAGGAACCCCTTCCTGGTCAGCCATGTCCTGCAGATCAGTCCGGGGAGGGGGCGAGGGACAGGCAAGACAGTCCCCTCAGCAGGAGCACCCGATAGGCAGCTGAGGCTTTTGCAGGCCCTACGCCAGCATGTGGGGAAACTAGTCCTGCATTCCTGGCGGGGATCTGGGAAGCACATCGCAGGGTCCACTGCAGGGAGCCTTAGAGCTCCTGGCTGGCCTTCCACTGCCGTCTAGGAAGGCTCCCCATGCCCTTATTCCTGACTACCTGGCTGTATCCTCCAGGACACATCTCTCATGGGAGCTGACAGCAGCCACGGGCTGGCAATTCCTCAGGGAGGGAAGCTTTAGGAATCTCGTACCCTCTTCCTTTCCACCCAAGGCCCACCACCTCCTGGCTCTCTTTTGTACTCCATACTGAGCCCTGAATTAGTTGACACCTCCACCTCACTAGAGAGCTAGAAGTTCTCTAAGGATCTTAAAGATCACCACTATCTGGATACAAACAGGGTACAAACTAGCAAATATTTTTAAATTACAAGAAAGGTAAAACCTTGGAAAGTCTGTCCTGAGCTCTGGTGACTTGTGGTCTAAGCCCCACCTGCCAGAACGCTCAGCCCCTCGCTGGCCACCAGCTGGACTCACTCCTCATACCTCGTTCTTTAAGCCAAGTCAGTGACTCTCTGAGTCCCTTCACAGCGACTTGCTCTCCAGTTCTCGGGACTCTGCAGGCCTTGTGAAGGGCAAAACAGATGCTCAGCAGGCCCGAGAGAGTTCTGATTACACCAAGGAAGAAACTTGAGGCCGGGCAGCCACTTTCCTGAGCTCCGACTTCATTCCTGAACTGCTCAGTCCTCTTATTCACTATCAGAAAATGGCAGAGAAGATTACAGTGGCGGGAGAACAAAAATTGCTCAAAGCCACCTTCTTCCTAAACATAATTTGCACTACAATGACAGTCACTTCCGAAGCAGCTTATGTGAAGGGAACGGTGACTCAGGCGAGCCCACTCAGAGGCCCGGCCCACACACCCTTGTCCAGGAAAGGAAGCCAACAGGCACTTTGCCATAGAGTCCAGGGCAGCCAGAGCCAAATGGGTGGCTGCACCTGTTCCTGCAGTAATGCTGTTCCTACAGGGACTTTCTCGCTTTAACCCCACGGAGGAGGCACAGGGACCAGCTGACCCCAGAGAGGCCACTGTCAAGAACACAGAAACAGGCAGCTCTGCGTCAGCTGTCCCACCACCACTCAGCTCAATAAGCAGAGGGAAGACCTCTGACTGGTCCACACCACATGCCACGCTCCTTGGGACTGCCGCAGAAGAGCTCAGAGCCTGCTAGAATCCTGATACAAGCCACTGTGACTGGATTTTTTTCGGATGTTGAAACATAAAAACAAAACAGAGAGTCCACTGTATCCACAGAACTCAAGATATCTAACAGTCTCAGTGTGGCGGCTTCTCCTCCACCAACAAGGACACTTGTCACGCAGCTAGCTGTGCACAATCTGTGCTACTTGTTTCAGAAGTCTGGAGCACACATTTGCCACCTGGACAGCATGGGATAGACTAGCTTCCTATTCAAATCTGGGTTTACAGTTTCCTCACCCTTACTCTGAAATTCTCTTGGAGCACCAAACATGAAACTTCTTCCCCTGTCCTCAGATTAGGCAGATGAGAGTAAAGTAAGAGATGGAGCGCAGTGCAGTGCACTAACAATTCAGGCAGAGACTCTCCCTTACAAACTGCTTGCCAAGAAAGTAGCAATTTACATGCTTTTTCTTATTACAAGCCCTTTCATTATGTCCACAAAATAAATTCCATCTGAATGAAGGTCTACAGTGCTATTTTGAGCCAGGAGGTCTGCCTTCCAGTTTTGCCACACACAGACATTATGAACTTGAGACAGTCATTTCGCTTTCTTTCAAAGAACTGCAATCAGAATAGGTCCTGCATCCCCTCCAAGTGCAGCATCTCTTTTAACACAACAACTGTTTGAGGCAAATCTTATTGTCACTCTCACATTACAGGTGAGGAAACGGAGGCTCATGGAAGTTAAGTAGTTTGCCTGCTCCCAGTACAGAGGTAACCGAGAGCTACCTCTAGAGGTCTTCAAACTCAAGAAGTCTGGTTTCAAAGCTAATGCTCTTAAAAATCTTACACCCTGCCTCCCTGGGAAAGGAAGTAGGACACGCAGCAACAGCACTGGCTAACATGAGTCAGAAGTGAATTAATTAAAGGACACTGGGAAGCTCATGGAATTGCCAAGAGAGGTAGAGAACCAGGTTCTCAGGTCACCAAGTACATCACCCTAAATCTTACTTCAGCAGAGGACCCTCTGGGCACTGCCAATACTGTGGATACTAGGCACTGCATTGCAGCTACCAGGGCCCCAAGAACTCAAGGCTCCTGGCACTTTAGCTAGTGCGAAGTACCAGCTCTTGATTCAAAGTCTTAAATCAAATACTTGTGATTGATGTAGCCCAAGTCATAGACCTGGCCCTAAATCCAAGAAAGGCTGGAAATCACTTATCTAGTAGAAGCCTGTTCTGATCAGCCTCTCTTCCCACCAAGACTCAAGAAGTAGGAAATTTCCCAAACATAAGAAGTGGGCTCAGATGCTAGGTGGCCCAAAATGACAAACGCCCAACAAATGAGGAAACTGGAGTTCTTCAAGGTCCTTTTCAGCAGCATGAGTCTATTTAATTTAATGGATTGCAGTAGAGTATAATTCTCATTTATCTGTCCCCCTTCTCTGTGAACTATTACACAAGGTTATTTATTACCATTGCCTTGCAGTATCCCTCTATCCTATGGGAGAATGGTTTCTCAATGATACTGAGCTTGAGCCTGTACTTGCTGTGATCAATGGGATATGATATAAACTAGGCCCTAGCAGAAGCTTTAGGAGCCACTGCATATGGAGGCTCTCACTTTCGTTTTGTCTTCCAGGAAAATGGCATGTTCCAAATAGGGATTGGTCCTTCAGCCTGTGCCTCAGAATGGGAAGACACGTGGAACAGAACCTAGCGGAGCTGTGGCAGCCACAACTGACTCACACAGTCTCCAACTTTAATGTGAGCCTAGAGTGTTTCTTATTCTAAGTCACTGATTTGGGGGCGGGAAGCTGTTTGTTACAACAAAACAGACTGATACACATTTATGGAGAAGCACTCCATATCATTGTCTAGTGAACAAAGGAAATACATAAGTAAATAGGACTCAGTCTCTGCCTTCAAGACACTTATCTGTGTCATTCTTGAATCATAGCTGGCAGGGAGTGGAAGTGTTTTAAGAGAAGCAAAACACAAGCTCTGAGAAGCAATAGGAAAGGAGACAGAGATTCTGCCTGGGGTTTCCAGGAGGCTTCCCAGAGGATGCGAAACTCGGACTGGATATTAAAGACTAAGTCCAGGGTTATCAGAGAAGGTTGAAGAGAAAGGAGGGGATTTCATGCAGAAAAACCAATATACAAATTCGGAGAGGTGCAAGAAAAAAATACATATATATGCATGAATACATTCTGGTGTTGCCAGAATATAGACAGGGTGGGGAGGAGGAGTGGTAGGAAAAACAACGAAATGGAGGAGATTTTGAAAGGCCCAGAACGCCATCCTAGCAATTTAAACATCACTCTCAAGGAAACAGGAATGACTGAAAGTTTCCACTGGATCCTTACCTTCTAGGGTAATAGAAATATTACCCTAGGAGTGGTAGAATGGAGGTGAATGAGAAGCAGGGAGCTCAATGAATAAGAAAGACTGTGAGATGAAAACCACTGCGAGATGATAAGGTCCTTATCTGAAACAGCAATAGTAAGAGCAAAAAAAGTTCACGAAACATTTCAGCGGCGAAATCAGTAAGACTTGATTGGATGAGGTTGAGACAGGGGAAGAATGAGTGAAACACAGAATACGGGGCTACCGATTTTATCTAAATGGAGGGTGGAGTCAGTTGTGGATATGGGGGAGACAAAAAGGGCAACAGGCTTGAAGAAAGCTGATGATCCGGTGTAGTGCACACTACTCTTTTTTTTTTTTTCTTTTGAGACGGAGTTTCGCTTTTGTTGCCCAGGCTGAAGTGCAATGGCACGATCTCGGCTCACCACAACCTCCGCCTGCCGGGTTCAAGCGATTCTCCTGCCTCAGCCTCCCGAGTAGCTGGGATTACAGGTGCCTGCCACCACGCGCAGCTAATTTTGTAATTTGAGTAGAGATAGGGTTTCTCCATGATGGTCAGGCTTGTCTCGAACTCCCAACCTCAGGTGATCTGCCCGCCTCAGTCTCCCAAAGTGCTGGGATTACAGGCATGAGCCATCACACCTGGCCATGCATATCACATTTGAGTTGTCTCTGCAACATGCTAATGGGGTGACCAGTTGGCAATTGAAAGACATGAAAGAAACTTCCATCTGCCTGGAGTGAGGGAAAGGTATGAGAAAGGCTCCAGAGGCAGGGTAGACATTTGCTATATGTATGCTAGGCGTTCTCAGGGACAGGATGTTGGAAGAGAAGAGAGCAATGGCATTTTAGGCAGGCAGTCAGGGATGTATAAAGCCATAAAGGCAGGATGTCATCAGGGAAGAACAGGAAGTTAGATGTGGGTGGAGGGAGGGAAGCGAGTATTGGTGTTTCCATGTAACAGTTTCCTGCAATCCATGGGCCTGGCTATAGATCAAACATTTCTGTGGGTGAGAGTGTTTGTGTGATGGTAGAATAGCACGACTTTGTGAATAAATTCGTAGACTCTTACAAGTAGACTCCTGGGGTCTTTGATGCTCCTTTAAAAATGCAGCTGCTGCTCCCTTTCTGGCATGTATAGTTACTTCTTTCATTGTCTTTCTGCTAGAAAAATCAGAATATATATAGTTATTCATGGAAGTAATAAATACATCATTCTTTCTTTTAAAAAATATAGTGTATTTGTCAGGAGAGAGCTGGCTATATTGCAGTAACAAAAACACCCCAATTATCAGTGGCTTACATCACAAAGTCTACATCTCAGGCTACACAACCATCAGGGTCACCCAGGATCCCTGCTCCTGTGTCATTACTGTCACCCTTACATTGGGAAAAGAGCTGCTAGAACACCCGTACCATTGACCATTGAGCTATATCGGCTCTTAAAGTTTCCACCTGGAAGTGATATGTCACTTTTGCTCACATTTATTTAGCCAAAATAAGTCACATGGTGAAGTGTGAAATCCAGGGAAAGTGGGGAATATTACCCTCCCACAGGAGCACAGCAGCTCTCAGTGAACAGCAATCCAGTCGAGTCCATGCCACACCCTAAGATGGACAGGTTCCCCAATGTCTATGAGAGTCTTGCACCTAAAGTATGACAATTCTCATCTGATGTGGGCACCCTCTCCTGAAGGATTCCAAAACAGGGATGATGCTTTCCCATTAATAAATGCATTTCTCCAGGCCTTGACACCAGATTGCCAATGACCTTGGCATTCCTGGCCACGAATGTTTCCTGTCTAGGCCCGTATTCCCTGTGCAGTGACACTTCCAGAAGTCTTCATTGTCTTGAAGGTACCCCCCAAACCCCTGTCCCCTGCCAACTCTGGACTAAGGATGGAGAAGAGAAGCATCTGCTTCTGTCTACAGTAGCTTTTCTCTGCATGAAGAAAAAGAAAATCTGGCACAGAACCTATGTTTCACTATCTAAGACACTTTTTTGATCAAATGTCCCTATGGTCTGCTGTTGGATTGGGGTGTTTCTTTTTACCCCTGCGGATAACTTGTTTGCCTTTCAAGTCTCCGGGCTGATACAGTCAGCTCATTCCAGTACCAAAACAGGGACAATAATTATTATTCCTACGTGGTTCTGCAATTCACAGATTTTTCCTAAGTAAATGTCCACATGAGCTTTATTCTACAGAACTGTAAACAGATGCCACAAAGCAGTGTCTCTGCCACCAAGGTTCAGCAATTAGAGGTACCAAGCCATGAGCAATGGCCCATGAAATATTTAAACTTCTTCAAGATTAAATATATATTTATACATTTTTAAAACCCAGCTCTCTGGGCATAACAAATTCCTCCCCTGTCTTGAAGAGCCCATCAAAGCCAGGCATCTGCAATGAGCTGTTTTCTACTCATTGCCTGATGGACACCAATTATTCTCTGTTTTCTTAAACTGTGAATAGTAAGAGCCTGTTAAACTCAGTCACCCTAGCAGGAGACAAACAGCAGAGGCCCTGCCACTGCCCAAACCACCAACACTTCTAGATGCCAGGCAGACTGGCAGCTGGCTATTTGCTGAGCATTTCTGATATGCCAGATACTGTGCTAAGCACTTAGCATGGGTTATCTTATTTAATCCTCATAACAGCTCCATCACATAGGACCTATGATTACCCCCATTTTACAAAGGAGGAAACTGAATCCTAGAGAATGTTATGGAAAGACAGCAGAGAGTAGGTGGCATATGAATAGAGTCTTAGAGGATAATTGGAAATTATTCAGGAGTTCAAAAGAGGAAGGCCACCCAAGCAACCTGAATGGCAAGGATAAAGGCAAAGAATATTGTGTGTTTGTGGAAGGGTGTAGACTAGGAAGGCTAAAGCACAGAGTACTTAGGTAGAATTGCCTAAAAATCCAACTAGGAAGGTCAGCTAAGGCCAAATTGTGACAGAACTCAAATGTGATGTGGAAGAGTTTGGACCTCTGACTTCAGAGACTAGACAAGTAACCTGCTCAGGTGTAAGATGTAAGGAGTTGGAAGCAGGTGTAAGATGGTAAGGAGTTGGGAGGACTGTGGCAAACCAGAAGGTACACACCTTCAGTTGTAAAGGCAATCAGATTATGTAACTGTGAGCTGCATTTGGCCTTTAGGGAATCAGCTTGCAAACTCTACAAAGCAATGAGAAAGTGATAAGGGGAATTAATCAGAGACTGATACTGTCAGATCTTTTTGTTCACAAATCTCCCTGACAAACATGTGGATGATGGGCTAGGTGGGGCAAGACTGAGAACAAGGGAACCACTGAGGAGGTAGGTGCAGGAAAGTAGAAAGACATGATGGGAGCTAGGACCCAGGTGATACTAATGGGCAGAGAGAGAAAAGTGATAGATTTGAGAATGAAATATTAAAAAGGAAGAAACTGGCAGGACTTGATTCAAAAAGGATATAAGGGAAGAGGGCATGGGAGTTTCAAAGAAAATGCCCAAGCTTTTGGTGCAAACCATGGGGCAAAAATTGCTGTTAAACCCAGGGAGTGAACAGGTGAAAGATAAGAAGTGTCATTTCAGACAAGCTGATGGGCAGAGCTTTGACATTCTGCTACTGCGAGAGGTCCTCAAGGCTAGTGTGGGGCTTGGCCAAGACACCTGGCTAGCTCCATGACTAAAGGGCCCATCCAAGATAACAACCTCTTCTGTATTCCAGGGGTTGACCAAAAGTTCCAGGAGGTATTACTAGTGCCTGCCCTGTGTTGCACCAGGACACCTATTAATGCATGAAGTCACCAGGTACCAGATGTGATTTCATGTGTCAACTTGTCTGGGCCATGGGGTGCCCAGATATTTGGTCAAACATTATTCTGGATATGCCTCAGGGTGTTTTTGGATGAGATGAACATTTGAATCAGTAGATTGACTATATGTAGGTGGCCTTCATCCAATCTGTTGAAGACCTACCTGAATAGAACAAAAGGCTGACCCTTCTATGAATGAGTGAACCCCTCCTGCATGACTGTTTGGGCTGGAACACTGGACTCTTCCTGCTTTCAAACTTGAACTGAACATTTGTTCTTGGGTCTCAAGCCTGCCAGCTTTTGGACTGGAACTTATACCATCTGCTCTCCTTATTCTCAGGCCTTCAGACTCAGAACTACATCATGGTCTCCCATAGACCTCCAGCTTGCCAACTGCAGATCTTGGGGCTGCTCCGCCTCAGTAATAGTGTAAGCCAATTCTTTATAATAATCTCCTTATACACATTCACACACACAGACATATGCAGATCATGTTTGCTGCAATGTGTGCACATGCATGTTAGAGGGGGAAGGAGAGAGACTGTATATGAGCATGTGCCTATGTATGCATGTGTACCTATGTGTGAATGTGTATGAGTATGTCTGTGAGCGTCTGAGAGAGTGACTACATATGTATGAGTGTGTATGCGTGTTAGTGTGTATGTGTGTGAGTGTGTACATGACTATATGTCTTTACCCAGGTTTAACTGTCTTTGGCTTTCATACTCAGTATGAATTCTTCTACAGAAACATTCCTGCATCTTCCTGAAGTTCTTCAGAGTCCAGTCCTCAGCACGGAAGGGTGCTTGAGCAAGGCAGCTGGGAGACAGCTCAGGTATCACAGACATACTGACATCCCACGTGAGCAGCTTTTCTTGAAGTCAACGCCTTAACTGTGCCCCAGGGCCAGGCCCTCCATCCCCTCCTCCCCAGCACAGGTTCATTCACATGCACGGGCTTGTGATGCCTCTAGCAAGGAGGCCAGGCCAGCCAGAGAGGAGGGAAGGCTGGAGCAAGCAAATTCCAGCCCTAAAGCAACTCAGACAGAGTGGGGAAGGGGCCCCTAGATTCCTGCCATCTTCAGCATGCACTTAATAACTTAAGGCATTTTTTTTAAGTGAACAAATGCCCTCTGTCCACAGCAAACAGGAAGGTTGTCCTCTTCCCCGGGCTGCTGACGGGGCCCTGTCTCTGCCTCCAGGAGACACCTTCAAGCCGTGGGTGCTGTCAGCAGTCATCAGGGCAACATCAACTGGACCTGAATCCATACAGCACTCTGGGCAGACCCTGCTCAACACGCCAGTGGGCAGGACAGACCCATGAGCTTTGTGATCTGGAATGCATTTTTCAGTTAACCCTTCTGGAAGTCCATCGGATCCAAACAGGCGTGCCACAGGCATCCTCCAGAGGAAAAGAAAAGGCGGGCAAAAGACTAAGGAGTTCTCCAGACCTCCCAGACCGCACAGACCTGGGACTGGAGGCCAAGTTCCTGACCTCCATTCTACCTGCCCAGCACTTGGACAAAGTCACCTGTAGAGCCCTTCAGTGTTCACAACACACAGCCACTCTGGTCAGCTGTGCTGCTGGGTGGAGAGCACAGAGTTCTCTTGTCAACCAGCACCACAGACGTACTGTCCACTGGGTGCCCCACAGAAGCTCAGCCTGGAGCCACCAGCTCCCACTTCCTGGCAAAAGTCCTACTGAGACTAGCAGCACTGGAAAAGGGCAGAGCCAAGGAGGTAGGGTCAAGTGGGAGAGAGCCTACCACAGCCTCTGGGGGCCTCGAGGAAACAAAGGCAGGAACTAGGCACTCACTGAGGACAACACTGTGATGCCATGCCCGCGCCCCAGGCTGGGGCCTACTCTGAGGACAAGCCCCCTGCCTGCTACAGGCCATTGCCTGCTACCTGCACTGTACCTCTCACCCCTCCTGAGTGTGCTGCTGGAGTAGAAAGGGAAAGACACTACACGGGGATTTATCCTGAATATGTGTAAATCCATAACTGCCTTCAGCAACAGCCAGGCAGTGTAGAAGCCAATCAAGGTTTCTCATAAGCAACTGAGGCAGCACAGTATACAGGCTTTGAGAAAACCCTGCAGGAAGCCCCGTCCACAGCACAGGTCTAGGAACCCTGCCAGCATTGCAGACATGTGGGAGGGGCTTGGAAGTCATGCCAGCTGCACCACCCCTGCCTGTTCCCCTCTTCCTTCCCCAATCCTGAGTGCCCTGGAGGAAGAAGCTCAGACAACCTGTGCTTGCCTATACATGAGTGTACACAAGTGTATACACATTGGGCTGGTTACTTTCCCCCTTTCTCTGCCAGGCTCTGTGCCCAGGAAGGAGGCCCCTGCCTATGCAGCACCCAGCCTCCTCAGTAAGGCTCAGCCAAGGGAAGCCATCCATAGGGGATCACAGGGTAGCAGAGCGGTCAGGGTATTTCTTCCTCTCCTGCAGTGCTTTGGGTCCACGTCTCCACAGTGACTGTACCTTGCACCAGGCAGCATCGCTTCCAAAGCTTTGGTTCCTACCCTACCCTGGTAACACTAGTTCTCCCCTTGTCCAGCCAGCCCTAGGTGTAACAAGAGCTCCCTCCTGCTGTGAGTCTCCGGGTCTCTCACCCTCTCACTTGCTCCCTTAACTCTGGCTCAATCTGTTCACTGTGATCCTTTCATGTAAACAACTGGGGTGTATGCTGCTTTGGGTCAGGGCCCTTCTGATAGGTGAGGATATGTATGTGTTTTGTGTATGTATACACACGTGTGTGTGAGTGCAGGTACTATAAACCTGCAGTCTCTACACATTTGCAGCTGTGTATGTGCGTGTGTCATGAACACGTGCATAGGATACACCTTTTCCCTGAACTTGCAAGGCTGACAGCGAGAAAACTATCTTTGGGCATCCATCTCTGAATCCCAGAGTGCCCCATTTACTCCCATTTTGACACCATTTTGAAATGATTAACCTAGGTCTCCACCTGGCCCAACAGCTCAACACTAAGTTCCTGGAGGGCAAGGAAAAAAAAAAAAAAGTAGGAGAAAGCAGGGAAGAGGAAGGGAGGGGAGAGGAGAGAGGAACAACAGGAAAAGATGACTATCATTCATTGAGTACCTGAGCTGGAGCACGGACTTTACAACCACTTCTCCATTCTAAAAACCACGTAGATCATTGTTCATCTCTTTTTACAAGTGAGAAACCAAGGCTCAGAGGCTTCAGATAACTATCTTGAAGGCACACAGCTAATGAGCAGTGAGAGGCGTTCAGCCACAGGTGAGTTCAAGCCCTGGCTCTTTCCACTCCCCTGCGCTATTTCTCAGTCTCCTTACACAGAACATAATCATGGCCACACGGTGGGCACTCAATCAATGCTCATAAAACTGAACTGAAGCTAAGAAGAAAATCCAATTGCATTCTTAAAGACAAAGACAAAGCTCACCAGTCATGAAGAGAGCCAAGCTGGTCAATGCCTGAGCTCAGATCATCTTGAACAACATAATGGAATATGTCTATGGCTGCAGTCCTGGAAAAACACAGAGGGCTTCTCACTGAGCTGCTTCAAGGCTGGCCCTTGGTCAAAGCCATGCATGATATTAAATTCCAGGACAAGGGCTTTCTGATTGACGCATGGTTGAGAATTGGAGCCTCAGAAAGACTGAGTTGCTAACACATCCCTCAGCCTACTCTCTTGGCAAGGCCAGGGCGAGCATTCAACAGCAGATAATTTGCAGACAGTCTATGCTGCTGATGGAAACTAAAATGCCAGGTAATTACCTGGATGGCAACAAGGGTGCTAAATAATTGTCATAATAATAATTACTGGCCTAATTCTTTGGAAGGTCAGATGGCTCAAAGTTTGAGACCTGTTCAGAGGTCAAAGTGGGGTCTGGGTACATCTGCCCCCTCAGACTAACCAGTGCATTGCCCTGCCCCCCTCACCCCCAATCCATGTTACTCCCCAGCCCTTAGGTAATCTCCAGAACCCAGAAAATGTTACAGCTGTCTGGCCTCAGAAATACCTGCCTATCATGCCAAAGTTGGCAATGAACTCCTGTTCTGTTGAGCTGCCACCAGGAATGAAGTAGCTTCTGAGGCTTGTTTCATCCTCAGGGCACCCTGTTAGTGATCTGTCATCACCTGCAGGCTACAGAGAAGAAGCTGAGCCCAGCCAACTTGCCAGCAGTCTCACAGCTGGTCAATGAGGAAGCCAGGATCCAAACCCAGGTACCCAGGTCTGCCTTGTTCCAAATCCTACTGTCTTTGCCATACCTTCTGATACTAATGCCCTCCAAGCCTGTTCCAATGCCACAGTGCTCTTTATCCATGTAGGTCTCCCTAAGGAGCCACCAGGAGTGAGGCGACATTTTCGCTCAGAGACAGACACATGTACTGTCTCCAGACCAACAGGACCCCGGCCCCCACGGCAGTGAGTCAGGGCTCACCGTGGCACTCCACTCTCTCCACACTGCCTCCTACTCTACCTCCTCTCCACAACAGCTATTTATAATCCTTATTTGTACAAATGAAACAGTGTATTCTGGCTTTTTTTTTTTTCCTGCACTTTAAATAACTAAGTTATGGATAAAAGAAACAGAACAAAAATGTTATCCAATCATTGGCCTGCCCCGGTGCACGTCTGTGTATCTGATATTTTCTCCCAGTGCCATTCCTAATAGATGCCTCTTCTCTCTGCCTCATTGTCTCCTGCTCTCCTTTGTGCTTCTAAACAAAGGCGACATGGCACAGGGCCATGGCTTGCTTACTGCCTGCCTGGCAGACGGAGTAGGGCTGGGTCTGTCATGTATCCCAGCCCCTCAGGGAATTATAGTACAAGACCTAACATGGATTGAGATGTGTTGCTATGTGCCAGCACTATGCATCATCTCATGCAGCCTCATCACACCCTATACTAGCACCCCTATGTCACAGATCAGGACACTGAGGCTTATAGAGGTCAAGTGGCTTGCCCAAGGTCATGGAAAGTGATGAAGCCAAGACTTGAACTAGGGCAACCGGACTTTGGTGTCCAGGCCCTTGGCCATGGGCAACTGGTTCAGGCCTTTGACCACAGCTGGTCAGAACTAACAAACTCCAATGGTGACTCCTATCGCCAACCTGATGGCCCCTAAGGGAGGCCGATATTCAAAGAGACACACAATGACCATGAGATCTGCCAGAACCCTCTAAAGGAGGAAGTATTAGCCCATGGTAGGCATAATACGAAAGGAGAAAGAGCAACTCACCAGCCATTTTGTCTCACTCTTATCTTGAGTAATGGGTTTCAATTATTCAGTCAGTCAACAAACATTTGCTCAATGCCAACTCCATGCCAGACTCTGTGCTGGATGCTGCTGATGTGAAAGTGAATATAACACAGTCTTGTCCTCAAGATGCTTAGTCAGCCAGGGAGACAGATGAGAGCAATAGCCGAGCCAGAGCCACAGACATACACACTGAGATACAGGTCTATCCTCGCCCAAGACATCAGATCGCCACCCCTCCTGCCATCCTATGTGACTTGAAAATTTCCACCTTTTCCTCAATCCATTTTCCATTGGCACTTACTTCATTCTAATTAGCAGACAAATAGAACCTGTGCAGTTCTTGCTGGCTTCTTGATATGTTCTCCATGCTGGGTTTACAAAGACAACTGCAGACACAAATTACTCCTGCCACCTGTCCCTCAAGATATGCTGGTGGCCTTTAAATGCTGGATTCTGTTGATGTTCCTCATGCAGCAGCAGCAGCACATGCAGCCTGCAGCAGTCTGCCCACGTCCTCTGCAGCATGGGAGGAAAACAGCACAATGCAGCAGGGCTGCCGTGGGGCAGGGAGCCAGTAGACCTTGTTTGGGTCCTGGCTCCACTACTGCCTTGCTGAGTGACCACAGGCAAAGCTGTTAGCCTCTCTGAACTGCCATTTCCTTGTCTTTAAATTGAGGAAATTGAATAAGGAACTTCATCAGATCCCTTCCAAAGTCCCATGGAGTATCTGCATGGCTCTCGGCCCACAGTGCAGTGCTTTTTACATAATACAAAAAGAATGAGTGTGAACAGCTGCTGGTGAGGCAGACCCTGGCCCCCGGCCAGCTGGAGACCAGGGCACTCTGGTACCATGAGTAAAAGCATGAGATACTGACTGAGCAGACACGGTGACCCCTGGTTCTGCCATTGAGCAGCTCTGCAACACAAGGCAAGTCAGTTAACTTAGATGAGCCTCAGTTTACACAGTCACATGGTGATAATATTTTCTGCATTGAGTTGGTGTGAAGATTATTTGAAATAATGTGATTTGAAGCACATAGCAAAGCAACAGATGCAACCGCCAGTGTTATTCTTTTCTGTGCTGCCGTTGTTGTCCATGGAGGCCAAGTTCTGATGTCCTAGGCCAAGTTCTGACTCCTGGTTCTCATGGGCTCCATTTTCCACAGAAGGGCTACCAAGTTCATGCCAGCTCTTTCCCAGGGAAGAGAACCCTGCCCTGTCCCCAGCCCACAGGCTGGGCTCAGATGCCGTTGGCCAGAACTTCTGACCACGCAGCCAGCCACGCTTCCACAGCCAACCCCTGCTAGGTTTGCCCTCCTGCCTGGATCGTGTGACTTCCTCCAGGGAGTGTGGGTGCTTTCAGCTGCAGCCTGCCCAGTAGATGCATTTCCTGCCAGGCTCCCACCTTCCTCCTGCATCTTCCCTGGGGACCATTGTATGCCATGCTCTGTCCTGCTCCCTGGGGCCTCACAGTGCCCTGCTGGCTTAGACATGCTTTTCTGCCTGTTCCTCACTTCCTGTAACTGCCTCTGGAGTCCCCACAGAGGCAGTGTGAAATCACAAGGAGGGCCTTTCCCATGTGGAGGGGGGTCCCTATCCACGGAGGTCCAAGTCCTCCACCCATTTCCCATCCAAACATATATACAGTAATTCATGGTTTAGTCTAAGCAAGCAGATCTTTCAACCTAGGTTCTCTCTCCAGCTATTCCTGACCACACTTTTAAGGGGCCTGTAGAGGAAATGACACGAAATTATCAAGACCTTGGGCTAAACTGGACACATGGAAAAGACCACTCAGCAATACTAATAATCAAAGCTTTCATTTATTGAGTTCCAGGCATTTTCTATACATTTCCTCACTGAACTCAATCCAACAGCTCAGTGACATGGGTACTATCATTATCTGTATTTTACAGAATAGGACTGGACTGGTTAGCAAACAAAGTTCCCAAGATCAAACAACTGGTAGATTCAGGGCCAGGTTGTTCAACTAGGTCTGTCTGCTCCAAAGCCCAAGTGCTAAGCCAGGTTTCTATCCTGCCTCCCAAGAGAGTCAAGGTGACTCTACCCACAGAGGAAAGTATGAGGGAGAAAACTAGGGCCTGCCATCCTCACACCTCACTAGGATCTGATCAGATGCTGCTGCTCTGGCCTCTGATAACTTCTGCCTTCCTGACATCAGCTTCTTCCTCTACAGCTCCATAGTTGATGAAACCCACCAAGACCTTCAGCAACTCCATATCCTAGAAATGAAAACTGACACAAACAAAAAAGCCTCCTGGTCCCTGCATGCCACTTACATAGATCACAGCTAGAATGAGTCTCTAAAGAGAAGGACTTACGGACTCTGCTAATTGGGTTTAGCAAAGTGACGTTCAGCTTCACTTCATGTGGTAGGTGCACACCATTGTTATGCCTTGTGCATTCCTACTTTGCAAAAACAATGACCAGAGCTTCACAAAGTGGTGCTTCAAGGCAGAATGTTAAGGCAAAAAAAGAACAGGGCTTGGCCAAAGCCAGGCAGCACCACTACCTAAGTTTCTTATTTAATTTGCTCAAATGTGTGTGGTGCTGGTGCTTCCCGGATTTGTCCAGGCCATCTCATGCAGTTACATTTTTACTCTGTACAGTGAGCAGAATGTTTTATGTTTTATATAAAAATGAATACACTGCTCACTATGGTCAGACACTGTTGTAAGTGCTTTATCCAGATCAACTCTGCTGATCTTCATAATAATTCTATGGGAGAGGCATTGCTGTTACTCCTGTTCCAAACATGAGGGAACCGAGGCACTGAGAGATCACACAGCTTGCCTGAGGTCACACAGCTAATCAGGGCTGGAGCTGTGAGTCAGTCTGCATTTTTAACCACTGTGCTACCCTACTCTGCATTTCCTAGGAATCTATTCAATATACAAATCAATATAAATATATTGCTTTACCTTTGTAAGGCTTTTGAGATGAATTCACAAGCCAGAGAAAAAATCCTTTAACCATAATTCTTTGGAGAATTTAGAAAATGTGGTCACCAGGATACAGGCAATCATGTTTTATAAGGAGAAAAGATTTTGTAGGTCTGCATGGTGTCTAGACAGGGAGCTGAGAAGAAAGGATGTGTCCGTGTGTCTCCAGGGCTGCCCAGAGAACAGGAGCTTCACTGAAGACTACAGGCCCTAGTGACTAGACAGAAATAGCCCAGCCGTGGAGAAAGTCATCCCTAAGCTGACTGGGTCTGGAGGAAGCAGGTTAGAAAACACTGTTTCCCAAAACCCAGTCCTTGGACTTCCCACAACAGAACCATCTCCGGATTTTATTAAAAATGTTGATTTAGGACCTCACCCTGGATGCATGATCAGAATCTCTCAGGAAGGAATAGAACGGGGCAAAACCCAAAACCCTGAATTTTTAACAAGCTTTTCAGATGTTCTGATTACAACGAAGTTTGGAATTCTCTGCCATAAAAATCTGACAGCTCTATTTGCTGTGAGAATCTGTGCACTGTGCATCCTTGGGAAATATGACTCGGCCTCCAAATAAAGGATGAGTTACAGCCCAGCCCAGTTCCATGACCAATTTTAATCTAATATAACTATAATATAATAACAACAATAATGATGACTACCAATTACTGAGCATTTACTACATGACAGACACTGCTGAGTGTTTTACTAATCTTATTTATGTTAACTCTTATCACACCCCCGTGCTTGAGTTATCATCGATCTTGTCTTGCAGAGGGTGAAATTCAGGCTGGAAGAATGGGTGACTAGCTCAGGGTTACACAAAAAGCAAGCAGCAGAGACAATTCAAACCCAATCTAACACCTTGACTTCTCTGGCTCTGAGCTCAAGGTCAGTGTTGCAGGAAGCCTGCCCTGCCACCACCATCCCCAGGCCTATGATGGGGCTGGGAAGGCCACTCACTAAGGCCAGGGTGTCCTTTACTTGGCAGGGAGCAGCTGGAGGAGGGCTGCTCTTTCTGCCGCACGTTCATTTCAACTGAGCCACCAGGGGTGTCTGTCCCCAGACGTGGACACCAGCCAACATGCTGGGCTGACTCCAGCTCCCAGAGGCCTGGGTCTGCAGGGTGGGAGAGACCAGCATACCACAAGCACCTCGTGGCCTCAGCAACTGGGGTGAACTTTTCCTTGCTTGCACCAACAACCCAATAGCCCTGGAGCCCGTGGCACTCCTCTCAGAGGCCTCACCACAGCTCCTTTCTGGGGATGAAGCACAGGCTGAGCTGAGAGTGAGTCCTCCCTTCCTAGGGGTGCTCTGGTTTCCCAGTCTGTAAATGGGGACCTTAACAGGGCCTCACTGGGTCTTTGGAAGGATTAAGTGAAGCGCCATCTGGGAAGCACCTGGCCCCAGGGCCTGTACATCGCAGGCCCGCTGATCTCCCTCCTTACTCCTGCTGCTGCCTTCTTTAATTTCATGGCTGTGGTTCCCATCTGCACAGCACTGCCTGGCCTCCCACCCCAGCCCTCAGAGATCCCAGTAGAAGATGCTTTGTCGACAGAGGTGCCCCCCAGATCCCTGGGGGGCTGTGGACCTCCCTGTTCACTCAGTCCCAGGATGTGGGCATCTCCAGAGCAGGGCCTTAACTGTCTTGTTCTCTGTGACATCTTTGGGCTAGAGGAGTGCCTGGCAGGGAGCAGGCCCTAATGTCTGCTGAATGAGTTAATTCAGTCACTGAACAAATGGGAATTGTGCACCAGCTTTGTGCAGGCCCAGTGCTGAGGACAAATGCATCTGGAGCACAGGGCTCTGCCCTCAGATCTGATATCCAAGGCTCCCTCTCAAGGACCTGATGCCAGTAAGCCCCCACACCTCTACTGCCCCAAAGTGTGGCTAGCAGCCTTGAAGCCACACTGCATCCCTGACAGTCTTCCCTTCAGCCAAGCCACCCAGAGAAAGATGCTCAGACCACCCTCTCCTTCTGGAACTTTCCATGTGAGCCTAGAGCACAAGCCAAGCCCAGAGGCCTCTCCTGAAGAGTGAGCAGGTTGCTGTCCCTCAGCTTGGCCACCCTTCCAGAGAGCTGTCCTGATACACCTCACTGCTCACAACCTCCTGAAGGAAAACCACAGGCAAGGCAAGTATAGACACGGGCCGAATCTGGGAGGAGCTTCATGCCCACCCCTCAGAAGACCCCAGAGACCCTGCTGTGAACGTGAAAGAGCCAACCAACCACGATGTTGAACTGCTGGAAATGCAGAGGGAAACTGCCCACTTGGGAGGCTGAGGAGGGTTCCATGCACTCGGCTCCTCACCCACGAGCTAATGGGTCCGTCTCAACCACTTAAGCTTATTTACTGACCACTAAAGACTTTGCCCAAAGACTGGAAAAAAGGCTGTGACTGGGTCTTAGAAAGCAAAGGAAAACAAAACAAAACCTTAGCACCAAAATGTTGGAAAGTGTTGTCAAAAGCAGATCGATCAGAAATAAGGAAGAAAGGGGCTCTTAGACAATAAAGGAAGTCAAAGGCAAACTGGAATATGCTTTAAACAAATGTGATATACGGTTTCCAGACACAGTGCCTTGCAGGGGTAAAGGGCACCTGGATTTCCAGTACCAATGGAAGGCGGGGGAGAGGAAGCTGCACAGGGGACCCCGATGCCAGTCTGGCACTTGCAGCCTGGCCTCTGGGCTGGCACCCCAGCCCCACCCACCACCACCTCTCTGGGCCTCGGTTTCTTTTTCTAAAAACTGAAGGCGTTGGACTGGATTATTCTAAACATATTTTGTGGTTCTAAAAACTCTTCTCACCTCCATGTCAATACTTTCAAAACAGAGATAGTCAGTTCTGTCTCCTTAGCAAGCCATCTTCTCAAGGGCTTAGACAGAGTCCTTGTAACCTTGTCAAAGGACCCTGGAAGGTGCAGGATAAATGTTTCTCTTCCTCGTTGCCATGGAAACTTGTGACTCCCACATCCCTGATGCTAGGACAATAGCATGGCAAGGGCCCTGGGTGGTTTGGGTTTGTTTTGTCCATACCCACACTGTGTATACTGAAGAGCTGGCAGAGCTGCAGGTGACACCTTACCAATAGGAGACACTGCTGTTCCTCATTTCATGACCAAGTTTCATTAGAAACTTTGGAATCATGGCAATCGTATGAGTAATACGGAGGCTGCACTGAGGGGCTACCAGAATTAGAGCACACTTTGACCCTGAAAACTGATCCCTGATCTTGCCTCTACAAGTTTCCCTTGGCCTGCCCTGCGATTTGGGGGTGATGTTTTGTGATTTTTCCTGCCACCTCTACTGAGATATGCAGTTCAAAAAGGCACCCTCAACAAGCGCCGAATGATACAACTTCATCCCTGTATGACTCTCTCATCACGGCAACACATTAGACTCAGCGGAAATGTGTGTCACACACCAGGTCTTCAAGGACCCAGACAGAAATAGGTACTTGGCAGGAAGGTAGATGGTGGTGGTGCTGTCTATTCAGACACTGGGTTGTCAGAGGGAAAATGGGTTAGAAAATCCTCCCAGCCTATATTAACCCTGTAAAACGCATCCAAATTTCTAAAAGATTTGTGCAATGTTGTGATTCTCTTTTCTTTGATGGTGGTACTTTGGAAAACAGAAATAGAATTACTTAAAGTGATGCTCTCTTGCTCCTATTAAAACAGGGGCAAACACTACACTTCCCTGCACGTCCCACATCTACTTCTCAGACCACAGTGTTCCCCACTGGCTGAGATTAATGGGGATGACACTGTGGCTGCTGATGTTTCTCACTGCCCAACTCTGCACCTACAAGTTCTTTCACCCTCCCTTACCAATCAGCGCCAGCCCAGTGCCCTCTGAATAATTGCCTGTGTTTTCATGCACACGTTAGACCCAGAATCATCCCAACTCCTCTACCTCTCTCCCCTCCCATACCCAACTGGCCACCAGGGCTTCCTCAAACTCCACCTTGATCGCCACTGTTATCATGAAGGTCTCCACCTTCAGTACTTCTCCCGGCTCTTCAAGTGGTTTCCCAGCCAGGCTCCCTGCCTTCAGCCTCATCCCTCCCATCCACCTTCCGCCTGCAGCTGGGGTGATCTTTCTAGACCATAAACCTCGTCATGCCACTTTCTACTTAAAATTCTTCCATGGCTCTCCAAGGCTTGCAGGATCCTGTCTTAATCCATTAGTCTGACACATAAAGCCTTCCTGGGCTGGCACCCCAGCCCTACCCACAAACGCATCTGGAGCACAGGGCTCTGCCCTCAGATCTGATATCCAAGGCTCCCTCTCAAGGGCCTGATGCCAGTAAGTCCCCTTTCCTTACTGGCACACCTCTGCTGCTCCAAAGTGTGGCTAGTAGCCTTGAGGATTCCTTCCTTCAGCCAAGCCCCCCCAGAGAAAGATGCTTAGACTACCCTGTCCTTCTGGAACTTTCCATGTGAGCCTAGAGCACAAGCCAAGCCCAGAGGCCTCTCCTGAAGAGTGAGCAGGTTGCTGTCCCTCAGCCTGGCCACCCTTAGCTGTCCTGACACACCTCGCTGGCCACAACCTCCTGCAGGAGAACCACAGGCAAAGCAAGTATAGACATGAGTCAAACCCAGGAGGAGCTTCACCCCCACCCTTCAGAAGACCCCAGAGACCCCGCTGTAAATATGAAGGAGTCAACCAACCACGATGTTGGATTGCTGGGAACACAGAGGGAAACTGCCCACTGGGGAGGCTGCAGAGGGTTCCACGCACCCGCTCCTCACCCACGAGCTAATGGGTCCATCTCAATCACTTAAGCTTATTTACTGACCATTAAAGACTTTGCCCAAAGGCTGTGGCTGGGTCTTACAAACCAAAGCAAAACAAAACTGTAGGAATAGCCATCATCTCACTCAGAGCTCCCCTCCTTGTAGATCTAGCCTATCCCTCAGCCCCTCTCCCTACCAGATAGAGCAAGGCATGGACAGATGCCTCCGTACTACCATAGCAACCTGGACCTCCTCTCCAGATCACTCCTACTTCCACGTTGTCTGCATGTTTCTTTATATATCTGTCTCCACCCTGTACCATCCATCCCAGCAAAGGCCACAGTGCTGGCACAGGCAATTCTTCAATGAATGAATGAAGAAATAATCACGTGCTTCTCACTTTTCACATGCAAAGAATAATTCCTACCACGTCCTTGTTCCAGAAAACAGTCATGCCAAGCTCAAAGAAGAAGGAACTAGGTGTCAAAAAGAGAATGTAGAGTAAAGAGGTCAAGAGCATTGATTCTGGAGTTAGGCAGTGTGGGTTCAAATCTCTGCTACTTTCTAGTTGTGTAACCTTGGTCACCTCTCTGCGTGTACCACATTTGTGTAAAGCAAATTTCAGTTTGCTTTTGAGTTCCTTTATAGTCTAAGAGCCCCTTTCTTCGTTATTTCTGATCGATCTGCTTTTGACAGCACTTTCCAACACTTTGGTGCTAAGATTTTGTTTTGTTTTGCTTTGCTTTGCTTTCTAAGACTCAGCCACAGCCTTTCTTTCAGCCTTTGGGCAAAGTGTTTAATGGTCAGTAACTAAGTTTCAGTGGTTGAGAAGGATCCATTAGTTCGTGGATGAGGAGCAGGGTGCATGGAACCCTGCAGCCTTTTCCACTGTGTGGAAAAAGAGTGAATGATATGACCTTCCTCACAAGGTTGTTGCAGGCACTAAATGCACCAGTGTGTCTAAAGTACTTGGGAAGGATCTGGTGCATGGAAAGCGCTTGGTCAGTGTTAGTTACTATTATTAAGAAGGCGCCAGCTTCTCGGGTCTTTCTATCTCTGCCACTTAGGGAACAGAGCCTGCCAAATGGTTATAATGTCTTGGATGTTTCTAGAGCCTCATTTCGGAAAGTTGTTGATTCCAGCCAGGCTGATCTGTGACCACTGCAAGTTGTTGGGTGCAGACCCCTCTGAAGGGGTCCTTGAGAGTAAGTAGAATTTGTGGCATAGGTGTCCACTGTCTTAGCTTCATTCCCTCATAGCAGGAATCCTTAGGCCACCTCAGCTGGAGTGACGGGGACGTGGTGAGGACAAAGGAGCCTCAATGCAGACCCACTCTGGAACTGGGCATGCCACCCATTTCAGGTCGGAGATGTCCCTTCTCTGCTACCCTGTCCCCACCGTCCTCACCACCCACCAAGGGCCTGGCTTCTGCACAGGACACCATTCACCAAGTGCTGCTGGAGTCTTTCCCACTGTGGGGAAATGGTGCACGGCATGCCAGGGGCCAGTGTTGTGGGGAAGGGCAGGGCTGCATGGAATGGTGGAAAGGGCCTGGCTTCAGTGCCAAGCACATCAGAGCCTCTGCTCCTCCCCTCGCCACCCACTGACCTGGTGCAAATCCCATCTGCTCCTAGGACCTAGGCTTTTACATCTGCAAAGTGAGGGGCCAGCTAAGATCACTGACTCCTACATCCCATGGCTCGGTGATGTGACTGGGGCCCCGAATGTGCCACAGTGGGTGGGTGTGGTATTGCTCCCATTTCCTCTTCTGGTGCTCTGGGCTCCAATGGCTTCTGGTAATACTTGCTCTTCCTCACACAGGAAAGGCCTTTCCTAAGTCACTTCCTCACTCCAGGCCCAAGCCAAGAAACCTGAACAATAAAAAGCCAGTCCAGTCCTCTGTCACGATAACCTACAAACTTAATAAAAATGGATTTTTGGGCCCTGCAACAGTGTGCACAAGGCTTCCTCGTCAACACTGAAGGTCCCCAGGCTGTGTCAGCCCCTCCAGAGGCAAGAAATCAATGGCAGATGGGTCTAGCCAGGACCCCATAGGTGTGGGACATCTGGTCTCCTTTGTTCAAGAGAGTATAAATTAGGCCTAGCTCTGGATGGTCGGCCACAGTGGAAACCAAGCACATTGCAATGGACATTGAGGGGACCCAGCCTTCAGTATACACAAGTGGGAGTAAATATGCTCTGGAAGCCAGGAGTGCTAGGTGCTGCTGACTTATATTCAGAAATAGGCCATCCCTGTTATTAATAATGAAACACGCTGATAACCGCTCAGCTCCTTCTGTGTTAGTTCTGTGCTAGTCACTATGCTAAGCGTTTTGGGTACATTAAGTCATATAATTCGTTTATTCAAACGAAAATTAGTGAGCCCTTGGCAGATGCCTGAAGCCATGCTGTGCACTGGGGTACAGTGGGAAGCGCACAGACATGGCTCCTGCTCTTAGAAAGCGAACCATCAAGCATCATAATTCTTTTTTTTTTTTTTTTTAAGTTCTAGGATACATGTGCAGAATGCGCAGGTTTGTTAAATACGTATACATGTGCCATGGTGGTTTCCTCACCCACAACCCTTCATCTAGGTTTTAAGCCTTGCATGCATTAGGTATTTGTCCTAAATGCATCACAATTCTTGAACTTGGGTGTGCATGCTATGAAAATCACCTGGCCACACCCTCCAAATCGAATCTTCACTTTCCTCAAGCGCCCCATCTCTAATTCACACTCAGAAACACTGGTCTGGTGCTATGAAAGAAACCTATGACTTTGCTCAGATGAGGAAACTAAAGTCCAGAGAGGCTAAGTAACTTGCACTAGACCACACAACTTGTAAGGGGCACAGTTGGGATAGGATCCCTGCTCTACCTGGTTCCAGAGGCAAAGTTCTTAATTACTACACTACTCTGCCTTCCTGAACCTCACCCAAATAATTACAGAGTATCAGATCATTTCATTCCTGTGCTATCTTTCCAACTACCTAACCATGTGAGGGAGAAAGCATGACTGTCATCCCATTTTACAGATGATAAAAGGGAGCTCAGAGAGTTAAAGTAGCTTGCTCAAGTTCACACGAATAGCAGGCCCCAGTGCCAAGATTGCAAGTCAGACTTGACCAGTTGCACAGCTTCTGCTTTTTCCACCGTTCCATGCTGCTTCTCTGAATGCTCTTTCATAAAGGTAAAGAGCACTTAGATGGAAAAGGCAACAGCTGAAACCAGCCTTAGTCTAAATAGAAGGAAAAAATGCAGATATTCTGCTAGCAGGCAAGGACTCAGGAAAGAGGCCTTCCTTCTCCCATGGCCTCTGGGTCACCTGTCCCACACCGGGAGCCAAACCCTGTGATGGGAAATTCCAAGCTGCGTGTCCGTGTGCAGCCATGTGAATATATATGCCAACCACACCCACCTGTGGCGGGTATGCAGGCCACATTCAGCTAAGCATGTACACAGTGTATCCAAGCCACACTCCTTGAAATCCTGGCTCATCTCTCAGAAAAAATCACCTTGTTGGCAGGTGGTCCTCCACCATCCCAAGCAGCAGTTGCCACAGGACTAAAAAAAAAAAAAACCACTAAAAAGGGTTTTCCCATCAAAAGAGGTTTTAGCAGCTAGAGTGCCTGTGTAAAGGTCAGTCCTTCACGCAGGGGACAGCCAAGCCAGGGAAAGGAACAGAAGGGAAGGCTGGAGAAGCTCCCTGGGGGATGGTATTTGAAATTCTGCATTGTCCTGAGCTACCTGCAGAGATGCAGTGCCCAAGGGAAGGCCTGGATCCCAGGGGGGTGTGGTCATTTTGCCCGCATCAGAATGACAAGCACTTCCATACAGAGCATCAACTAGCATGCAAGGAAAAATGTGGGGTGGGGAGCACATCACAGCACCCCAGAAAAGAACAGACCTAACTTCTCCAGGAGCCGAGACACCCTGGGGAGGTTCCCAGCTTTAGAACATTGGCAAACAAGCAGGACTAGGCCCCTCTTCTCCCCAGCCCCTCAGCCAAGCTGCCACTGTGAATTCCTTTCCCAGGCATCTGTGACACAATGTGAGCCCTGGTATCCCTGAGAAGGCTTACAAGCCCAAAGTGAGCCAGTTGTTTGAGCTACCCTTGAGTCACATCATATTTGGAAGATGGGGTACACAGGGAGGAGACCCAGCCATCCCATCTGCCTTCGTGGACACCTGCTCCACCTCCATGCCCCTGTCAACCCAGCCAGGACCTGAGGCCATCAGGGCTCCCTGTCGCATCCTCCCCATGCACTAGATCCTGCCACTGCTGCCTCTTTATTCTCTCCACTTCTGCCTTCCACTCTCTGTGCCAACCACGCCCACCTGCTGCCTGAGGCTCCGTCACATCATCTCTTGCCTGCACTTGAGGACATCCCAGTGCTCATCATCTCAGAATCTACAATCCTGTCTCTATAGTCCTCAGCAAATCAAATTCTGCCTCTGCAATGCTGTAAAAGGTATGATGGCTCCCATTGCTCACTGGATAAACCCAAAATCTTGACTGCGCCTTCAAAGCCTTTCCCAACCTAGATCCAGCCAACCCACCTGGTGTTATCCACTGTCCACATACTCTGACCTCTAACCATACAAATACACCTATTCCCCAAACAGGCCTTGGTATCTACTGCAGTAGATACCCTGAATGTCGATGATGTCTTCCAGGTTTCTCATCCTTCTCCCTTATAAATTCTCCGAGGACCTGGCACAGAGCAGGCACTCAGATCAATTTTCAGTCAGATGGATGGATGGGTGGGTGGGTGTGTGGGTGGGTAGATAAGTAAGTGGATGGGAGGATGTGTATGGATGAATGGATAGATGGGTAGGTGGGTGGATATGGAGTCTTCTTTTTTTTATTTTTATTTTTTAACTCTTGTCATTTTCATTTCTGATGCCTCTCTGGGAGGCGGACCGCCTGGCCAGACATTTTCAAACACAAACACAGCTTGGCTGCTACTTTTAAACTGATTAATATGAAGGATGCGAATAATAATGCCTATGTTGAAGAGCTGCTGGGAGGATTAAATGAGAAATGTACAGAAAGTATTTAGCCTTGTGCATACACATAGTAGGTGCACAATAAATGATAGCCACTGCTTTGGAACAAGGTCCTAATAACATGTGCATTCCTTTGCCTTCCAATGGGCAGAACCCAGGTCCTCTAACTTCTCCTAGTTCTGGGTGAGACAGATCTTTCCTGAAGGCTGGAGTGAAGGGTGGGGGTGGAGGCGGCCACAGAGGAGCTCCTGACCTACTTCGTGGAAAATCAGGCTCAGGCAAGGCCCCTAGACAGTGAATGATGCAAAGAGCATTCAAAGCCAGCTGCAGATAATAAGGCCCGTGGGACCAGGCACTTGGGGTGGCTCTCTTCAGCATGGCCTGCTCAGCCTGATGCCCAGGGCTCTTTCCCAGCTTCTGGCAATGCCCATGGCCTGGGCCTCTGTGAAGTTGCCAGGCATGCCTCCCTCCCCACAAACAAAGGAAGGCAGCCCCTGTCATCCAGGCTGCAGGAAGCCCCTCTTTGATACCCATTCAGAAAGACATCGAGAGTTAAGACAAACCTGCTCCACAGGACGTGTTTGTCCAAGCAAGCCCCTGCTCGAGACCCTGCTACCATGAATCTTAGGGTTCTAAGCCATCTCCCTGAATCCATACATTCCCTTCTATACCATCCTCTACACTGCAACTGGGGTGAACAGTATTAACATAGATCTGATCCTATCCCTCCCCAGCCTAAAATTCATTCAGTACTTCCTTAGGAAGTCCAAATTCCTTAGCCTGGCATTCAAGGCAGCCCTTCCAGCCTCTCAGCCTGCCCTATATGTATGCTCTGTCTACCATTCCTGGAACATACCATGCTCCTTCACACTGACAGCCCCTTGCATGTGTCATTCCCTCTGCCTGGAACTCCCAAGTTGCTCAGAGGGTAAATGGCTGAGCCAGGACTCCAGGCCCTATCTTATGACTCTGAGTTCCAAACTCCTTTGGTGGAAAGGGCTTGGGGATTCCAGAATAGTCCTACCTCATGATGTAAGGTGCCAGGACAGACCTTTACCATTTTTCATTTCCCAGATTTTCTAAATGTGCCATCATTTCAAATCACTATGTGACACTGTGTACGGCCAATAGTTGCACAAATAAAGCCAGCACAGGCTGCAATCTGCAGCTCCAAAAGTTTGAATGGCTCAGCTGCAAAAGTGAGTACAAGCTGACATTTCCAATCAATCTTGTCCTTGCCTTCAGTTCCAGTGCACTGCATGGGACACCCTAGTGAGACTGCAGTAGGCAGAAGAAAGAGAGAGACAGCCTCTGTCATCCCAAGCCACAAGAAAACATCTTTCCAACACCCATTCGGAAGGCACCAAGCACTAAGACAAAACTGCTCCATCCAACACAAAGACCTACTTGTCCCAGCCAGCCTCTGACCCCTGCCACTGTGCTTACAGGAACCTCTTCATGGCCTCCATGCCCTCTGACATCTGGACCTCCTGGGGTCCCTGGGCCAGACCCTCCCTATTTGCCAGAGGGGAGGTCTCTAAAGGCCTCCTGCCCATCTGCACAAAATCATTCACTCCTCTCCATCAATAATGACTTTGCACATCTAAACAAGTTCTGAATGCAGTAAGCCTCAGGCACACAAGAATAAACACATGCACAATTTATCACTTTTCCCAGCTTGACCAGCTCCACTTTTGTAGGCTAAAAGTTTCTTATCCAAGGCAGTACATGTAAATTCAATGAATAGATCTCTATGCTGATGGCAGAAAATTCAACACAAATACAAACCTTCTTTGCTAATTACAATAGATGTTTTCCTGGTGAACAACAGATGCTTCATCTACACTTTCACTCATACTAATATACTTTATATTAACTGTCATGGCAGAGACTGCTAGCCAGAACATCCAAATTATGGCTGGACATGTGGCTTCCCAGAAAGAAGACTACATTTCCCAGCTTCCCTTAAATTTAGGTGCGCCTATGTAACTACAGTATGGACAGTAGGATGTAAGAGAAAGTGGTATATGTAACTCCTCAGAATTGTCCTTAAAGAAAAGGGATATATGCTTCTCCATCCTCCTTCCTGCTGGCTAGAACGCACACATAATGACTGGAGCTGTAGCAGCCATTTCAGACCACAAATCAGAAAGCTCGGGCTGAGGATGACAGCAACAAGCTAAAAAGGGCCCAGGCCTGTGATCCTGGAAGAGCTAGACCAGTCCCAGATTGCTTAACTCCAGACTTCCTGAATTTGAGAGAGAAATACACTTCTATCTTGCTTAAGCCATTCATTATACTGTCCCTGCTGCTAAACCTAATTCTAACTGATATGGCTGATGACCTAAAAAGGCTTGGTCTGCACTTCTAGGCATCTTCATCTATATCACTGCCAAGCACTCCTCATGAGACCATTCTGTCCCACATGCTTGGGGCTGCTTCCATCCAAATGGAATAATTGGCCCCAGTCCTTTGTAAGAAGTTGGCACTGGCACAGGCCACCTTGGTCCTTAAGTCCTTCTGCACCCTTTTATCTGGCCTGACCTTCCAGTCTGATTTCCACTGGCTAGCGTTTCTGGCCTACAACTCTTTCCCACTATCCCCATTTCCTCTCCCACATTGCATACAGGTGGTGTTTATTTCAAGTAGTGTTTTCTAGGTAACCTTCTTTGAACTGCTCTAGCTACAACCCTAGTGGCTGGGCTGGGACCCTAAGCATTGCCCTCCCCTGCCCTGACACTCTGGAGGACAGCCTAACCCACTCAAATATCCTTGTAGACTTGCTCCCTTCCTTATTCAGCCTATGCCTGAAGAAGGGTGGAGGAGGGGAGGAAGGCATGCTGGGGAAACAAAGTCAAGGGCCTGTCCTGATTGATTTCCTTTCTCAAAAAGCCAAGCTGCCAGCCACCCAGATCTGGCCACTGGACCCTACTGGAGCTGAGGAAGGCTCACATTATATAGTGGCAGATGCCATTGAAAAGGCAGCCTGTGCCTCCAGGACAGGACTCCGATGGCAGCTCTAGAGAGCAGAGAATCAAGCAGCATTACAGGGTGTTACAAACCAATGCATCCAGCAGGTAAGACACAGGGGCAGGGACTGCTCAGCTCTGAGCTCCTGCAGAAAACAGGCACCAGTTGTCCCAGTCCAGGTGGAAACACAGGGTACAGTGTCTAGACCACAATGATAGCTTACAGCCCACCCTGGGATCTAGTCTCCTGGATGAGCAGGTTGATAACGCCTCTTCTCCAAAGGCTTCCATGCTTCGGACCTCTCAGAAAATGATGCAAGGGGATTTCAAGGCAGTCCCATTCCCACAGTTTTCCAACTAGACACATTGATTTTTTTTAGCACTCTGCAGTTGCAGAATCTTGGCCAACTATTGTGCCATGTGAGGCCCAGAACTGTGTAACCCCCACCCCCAACCATTGTCACACAGGGCTCTTCTGAAAGCCTTTTTTTTCTCTCCTCACCATCTGCCTCTTTCTAATTGGCCATAATTTAGAAATAAAGCATTTCCGAAGTTTCCCTAGATTCTCAGATTACAAGTGCATAGGATACTCACTGACACAGACAGGTAAGGACCACAGGAGTCCCATGCCATGGGAGTGTACTGTCTGGAGCAGCACTATCCAACAGAACTTTCTCTAATGGAAATGTTCTAGATCTGCGCTGTCCAAGATGGTAGTCACCCAGCCATATGTGGCTCTTGAAATGTGGCTAGTGAAACAGAGGAGCTAAGTGTTAATTTTCTTTAATTTCACCTAATTTAAAAGTAAACAGCCATATGTGTCTAGTAGCTACCATCCTGAATACTGTAGTTCCAGGGGAGTTACACAATTAAGCGAATAGTTGTCTTCATAGAGATTTAATTGTTATTGCAATAAGCAGCATGGAGAGGAAGACGAACACACAGTGAGGTGTGCAATGAGGGAATTTCACTTTTCCTGGGGGAGATGCAACATCACTCTGAAGCAGTCACATTTTAGTGGGTGATCCAACTTTGGATACAAAACTGAAACTCTATACAGGACCAAAAAAAAAAAAAGACCAAAAGAAAATAACCAAAAACATTTTTCAGATACTCTATAACAAGTTCACTTTATTTATATAAAGAATAAACTTCTTTTACGTGGGTCAGCACAATACTCTATATTTCTCTCTGAGGAAAAGTAAACTAAATAAAGTTGCTATCCACTTATATGTGGGCCACACCTGATTTTTTTTCTTATGCAACAGAGATCTGTCATAGAACAAGGTGTTCTTCACCCTCCCCTGAAGGAAAAAGGACAAGTTGGCGTCAAGACCACTGCCTTAGCCTGCCCTCTTCAAACCCCATGACTTCTCCTCCACCATTAGAACCTCTAGTGCTTCAAGTATACATATGAACAATGACGTACAATTACCCAAACAAAATAAAATAAAAAAAAAAAAAAAAAAAAAAAAGAACCTCTAGTGCTTGAGGTCATCTCTGAAGTCATGGAGTGGAAACAGATTCCCAAAGCCCAGAAATTTCCAAGGTCTTTAGCATCTTTGAGCTTCCTTGAAATCAAGGGTACAGTGACCTTAATTTCAGACTGGGTGGCTGTGATAGCTTACTCCCATGGAGAGAACAAAGCAGGCGAAGGTTTTGGGAAAGTTGGTGAGAGCCAACTGGGAGAGCCACCAGGTTACTGCCCATTTCTTGGGCTGCAATAAGAATTTTAGAAAGGAAAACTGTCTCACACATCCATATGAAGAGACCACCAAACAGGCTTTGTGTGAGCAACACGGCTGTTTATTTCACCTGGGTGCAGGCGGGCTGAGTCCGAAAAGAGAATCAGCAAAGGGTAGTGGGATTATCATTAGTTCTTATGGGTTTTAGGATAGGCGGTGGAGTTAGGAGCAATGTTTTGCAGGCAGGGGGTGGATCTCACAAAGTACATTCTCAAGGGTGGGCAGAATCACAAAGAACCTTCTTAAGGGTGGGGGAGATTACAAAGTACATTGATCAGTTAGGGTGGGGCAGAGACAAATCACAATGGTGGAATGTCATCAGTTAAAGCTATTTTCACTTCTTTTGTGGATCTTCAGTTGCTTCAGGCCATCTGGATGTATACGTGCAGGTCACAGGGGATATGATGGCTTAGCTTGGGCTCAGAGGCCTGACAAAAATGATAATGTATTCACTGAAAAGAAGAAAAAGGAGAAAGCAGCCACAGGCCCTCTGGAGACGCAGGTCTTCAACAAGAGGCAGGGTTTCCAGGCAGTGAGCCATGCATGTGAGAATTGTGGTCACCCACTCCCTCACTTGCCAGGCCAAAATGTGGAAAGGAGCCCAAGACCCCCAAAAAGCTAGAAACTCCTCCAGCTGTCCTCCCGCCCCCTTCTTTCAGACATCCACATTAGCACTCATCATGTTGTACCAAAGTTATCTTTGTCTGCCTTTACCTTCTCAAAAAGACCAAGAGCTTCTGGAAGGCAGGCCCATTTGATACCACCCAGCATGGGGCCTGGGGGACAACAGGTGTGACAATTGGCTATTGAGTGAATGCAAATGGCATATGGGCAGCACAGTTTTCATATCCCAGCCCAGCTTCCTAATGGCCATGAAACCCTGGGCAAGTTACTTAACCTCAGCCTCAGAGTTGGAATTAAATATGAGAAAACATTTCAGAGTCAGCCTACAGCCCTTGTAAGGGCTCAACAGCAGGGGTGTACTGTGGACAAAGCTAGTGGGAGATGTGACTCTGCTAAGAACAGAGTGATTTCCACAGACCCCGCACCCTTATGCAAAGGACCTGTCTTTGACCAGAGGCTAAATCCAGCATTCTAGCTTCTGCATGATTCTGTCAGCCTTTCTCAAGAAAGACAAGAGCCTGCTTTATTAAATAACCAGGTCCCAGCCTCGCCTCACCTCCAGAACTCTGCTCCACGCCCAGCCACTGACACCCCACCCACGTTCCTGAGCCACTCCAGACTGAGATCAGCAGTTTGCCAGGAGCCACAGCTTCCCATCCAAGGGTCACAGCCCTGGGCTTTGCTTTCTTGGGTGAGTTTAATCTAGATCAGTAGTTTTCAAGTTATTCACCCAGGACCAACAGAATTAGCTTCTCCTGGGAACCTGTGAGATATGCATTCTGGGGCCCAAATGATACACCCACTGAAGCAGAAACTGGGGTGTGGGGTCCAACAGTCCACATTTTAGCAAGCCCTCCAAGTGACTCCGACTTACTCTCAAGTTCGAGAACCACTCTGAAGTTTGCCCTAGTTTTCCTTTCTTTATCTCACCTCTTCCTGTTTCCAGATTAGTATCTTCCCATGCCACCAGGACTGGGCGCTGAGGTCCTGAGTAAACCTTCACACCCGCTGCAGGATTTCAGAAGACCTATCTATGTATACTTTGCCTTCCCAGTCAAGCACCTGGGGCCAGCCACGACTGGAACCAAGCCACTGCCAGTCAGCAAGGCTGCCCCTGCAAAGCCCACCTCCACAGCTCCCGCCTTGTCCCAGGGCATGGACGGGACCCAGGCCTCTGTCACCCCCTCCCTGCCTGCCTCTCCCAGAGTTCCACAAGCCAGAAGGAATCCAAGATCTGGGCCCTGCCTCCATGGAGTGGACAGGAGGGGCAATCAGGGGAGGGAAAATGCCTTCAAAACTCGCTGAAGAAGAAATGGGAGAGTCCCTGGGAAGGCCTTTTATGGAATGGAGAAATGTGGAGAGGACTGAGAAGCACCAAGTTCCCCCCAGCCCCCCCACAATTCCCAACCAATGGCAGACACTGCTAACCAGCTGCCCCTGGGAGCCTTTCCAAGTGGTCCTCTCTTGGTAAGTTTCACTTACCACTGAGCTGAGTCACCCGCAGCTGGGTGCCAAGGTCGCCTGCCATGTCCCTGATTGCAAGTCCGCAGTGTAGCTGAGAAATCCATTTAACTCTTAGAAAATGCATGGGCACATCCCTAAGGCAGCGCCAGAGAATTTGCCACACAGGACACGAGCGGCTCGGGCTCTGTCTGCCTGATACTTCCATAATTATACATTGATTATTGCTCCCCTTCTGCACTGCTGGCCCCCGCGCAGCACTTCCTAACTACAAAAGGGTTTGCCGGTTACAGGCAAGGGGAATCAATCTTCCGCTGAGCGATGCGTTCTTCCAGGTGGTCACCACACCCTCCGTGGCTTCTTCCCCACTCCGCTTAGCGGACCAGTTAGTACCAAGCACCCAAGCACCTGCGAGGACAGCAATGTCTCTGGAGCCATGGCTGTGACCTCCTAGTCCTGCCAACTCCCTTCCTTACATCTCAGCAGGCTTGTTCCCCTTTGCCACAGCCTGGCCCTCTTTTCCAGGAGCCACTGGCTCTGGAAGAAGCATTATCACTGTGTGGAGAGGGGGCCACAGAGAAAAGTGGGGGACCACCATGAAAGGGAGGCACAGGTAGCCTCAGGGACACCTGTAATCTGTCTCCAGAGTGACTTCTAGCGTGTCTTTCGTGAAAGACATTACCTGTGCTTGTCAGCAAGTGTTACATGAAAAAAAAAAAAAAATTGAGGGGGAGGAATGGGGAGCTAAACTTCTGAAATGAAATTCATTTAAGACACCCTGAAAGTTAACCAGGATTTCTTACTATAAGGTGTCTCCAAGCCTTTAGTGTGATTAATGTGTATTTAGGTCATTCCTGATACAGATTTTCAAATGTATTTGTTCACAGAACTCTATTCCCCAGAGCCTGGCATGGAACTGATGTTCCACGGAACATCCTTTGGGAACTGGCACTATCTCACCAGCTGTGTTGGAAGAACTGTGGCTGATTCCCTCACATGGCTCACACACAGCCAGCTCTCCCCTAGACACTCTACTTATGGAAAGTGTCAGGGGAGAGGCAAGAGAATCCAGATTCCAGGACTGCAGGGCCTGTTTCCGACAGTGTCTGTCTGAGCCCAGGGTCCCTGAGCAGGGGGTGAGGATCCCGGAGGGAGCAGACAGGCAGAGCGGGGCAACAGGGCTGGTCCTGCACAGCCTCCTGGGAAGGAAACACAGAATCTCTGAATCTACTCTTGCAGGCACCTTCCTTGCACTTTGAGATCGTGGTCTCATTAAATCTTACCAACAACCCAATAAAGTGTCTATCATTACTGCCATTCTGCAGATGTGGAAATCGACACTCAAAGAAGCTAAGAAACTCGGAGTCATTGGGACTTGAACTAAGAACTGAATGGTGAGTCCTGCTCAGGATCCGTGATGGGTTGCTCAGGGCGGGGGTGCCTACCCACCCCACCATTCATGCCAGCCAAGCTGCCAAGGACCCAGGCCCTCTCTGGCAGCCAACAGGCTGCAGGGTTCTCTTTTTTCAGGAGATCTAACTCAAGAGCATTTTCCTGACACAGTGTAAACGTTCGCCAGGAACAGGCTTCTTATCTTCCCCAACCCCGGCTTAATCCACGCTCCAGTGCTTAGGAGCCCAGACTGCGACAGCATCAGCCCAGGAGTGGCCACGTGTCAGTGGGCGTGCAGCTTAAAACACAGGTCTGGTGTGAGTCTCTTGTGACAAAGCTCTCCTGGGCCCTGGCTACGGACTTTAACCTGGCTTTGAATGCTCTGGCTTTAGACTTCTAACCTCCAGAACTATGAGAGAATAAATTCCTGTTGTTTTAAGCCACCCACTATGCGGTACTTTATTACAGAACGCTAGGAAATTGAAACACCCACTAAAGACACGTCCTGTCAGACTTTCCTCATTTCCTTAACAGAATTACCAGGGAAGCAAGTAATGGTCAAGCCTTCCTGCAAGGGTGCACCTCCCTCAGCCAGAGCCTCCTCGGATTAGGGGCCTCCTCAGGTATGCCTGTGACCAGGTGGAACAGCCTAGCTGGGGATGCATCTCTACCAGACCAAGTGGACTCTGTCTCAAAAACATGGAATCTTCTCCAAAGACCTCAAGCACATATCAGGAAAGAGGCTGGGGTCTCACGAGAACGCAGAGCAGGATCATCTGGACACTGATCTGGTTTGCTTTCCCTTATTTCCTCTCAGTCCTCTAACCTAGACCACACTTAAGCCAACACCAGAAATCAACAGACCATCAGCGCCAAGTTCATGGATAAAGCAAAACAATCATGTGGAACTGGTGGGACCTTGTATAAACAATTCAGGTTTCACAGAGGAAACTAAGACCCAGAGAAGGGAGACATTTGTTGCCCGAATATACACCGTGAGGTGGAAGCAGAAATGGGTTCAGCGTTCCTACTACGTGAAGTTGGGGTAAACTTAAGGAGTGAAGGTCAAACTCTATCGCTTGATTAAGGCGTCAGCCATCAGGGCTGTGCAGCCTGGAAAACTCTATGGGGTACCATTCACACTGTAGTGTACCCCTAGAATTTTGTAGAACACACCCTGTGCCCTATACTGGGCAGCCCTGACAGTAGCCTGAAGTGCCACGTCTAGGGATTGCACTGGAGTAAGTCGCCAACATGGCAGTGGCAACTCAGATATCCAGGGGCAATTATGCAATAGACAAAACTCACAAAAAGTGAGTTAGTCTCGCTTCTGTGCAAGATAGTGCCCTTGAGTAAAAGTAAAACTAAATACAAAAATCTGACTTCTCACTGGCTGCAGTTTCCTACCTCTGTTGAGTATTTTTGCAGTTTGCAAATGAAGTTGTGCCATGCAACTACAGACCGTGCAACTCTGCAAACCAAACTTCATGATGCCAGCTACTGGCTAAAATTCTGAAAACAAGAAAGCAGCATACAGGGCTATTTGCAGGGAACAAACATTTTATGAT